TTTGAAATATAGAGACATAAAATGTTCAACAAACAATCATGTGAAATGACCCTACACAAGCTGACGGACAGGTTCAAAAGTTTGTGGTCAGCATCGTTGCGAATCATGAACGACAACGTCATGAAAAAGGCAGCAAAAAAAAACGAAAAATGAAAAAAAGAATGGAGGGGCGTAAACTATCCTTAAAATGACMCCCTGCGCACCGCCCGTGCAAGCGCACCCGCCTGGGTGTTGGGGTTTGCTGTCCCGTCACAACCTCGCAATCAATCCCTGGCCAATGCCGATGCGATCTTAAGCAGAGCATCGCACAGCATCCGTTGCCCGACGTCGAGAACTTCGCATTGCCTCTCCTGCGTTCTCGCCTCCCTCTCCATTATGTCGCACTATCGTTGGAGCACGTCGCACTGCCGCTTGCTCGCACGGTCTACGGACTCTGCGACAACGGTCGAGTGCGTTTTCATCACATCCGTCACCGCCTCGAAAGCCAATTGCCTGGCGTTCTTCCACTTGCCTTGAATGCCATTTGAAGACGACCTGCTGCCACACCCGTCCTCCGTATCCGCTCCCCTGTTCTCGCTCGCCGAAGTGTCTGCTTCCCCACCACCCGTGGCCGCTTGACTTTGCTCACCTTGTTGTGACTGTTGCCCTTGTGTGTTGCCGGTGTCCATGAGATTCGGCGGGTGGACGGCCTGGTTGTTCCCCTGCATGATGTGGATCGCGTCGTATAGAGTGCGGTCTAGATTGAACTTGTACCCTTTCTCCTTCCATGCTTTCGTTGTCATGAGGAAGTACGATTGCAGTCCCGAAGCCTTCTCCCTGTCCCACACTTTCCTGTACCACCCGAATATGTTCTCCCATCTCTTCATGCATTGCTCCCCATCTCGCCGAACTCCTTCCTTCTCCATCCGCTTAGCGATCTCCATCCACTTCTGGTCCTTCGTTTTCATTCTGGCGAAATTGGTTCCCGCATTAGCGAAGTAGTCGTCTTGGTCTCTCTTGCACCGGACAAGAACGAGGGATTCGTTCAAACTCCAGTTCCCCCGCGCTCCGCTCCCGCCACCCTCGCCATTCGTATCACCTTCCTTATCCTTACCCTTCGCTTTCCCACGGACTTTGGAAGGTTGCTTTTTCGTCCCGCCGAAGACTGCTTCCTTGAGCGGAGCTTCGTCTTTGTCTTCCTCGTCACCGTCATCGTCTTCTACGTCGACGCGGTCCGCCTCGCTGGCACCACCGTCACGGCCGCCCACATCACCGTCGGTGGTCGGCCTCGAGCTATTGTAGCGGCAGACAATACGCTCCACGCATCGAGGTGATTCCGCAACCCCGCCCAGATCAGGCCTCCGTTCCTGCATGGCCGCGCCTGCTTCGTCACCTTCGCTGGTCGCCCGCAAGCTGTTGAATCGGCAGACGATACGCTCCACGCATCGAGGTGATTCCGCAACACCGCCCACATCAGCCCTCTGATCCTGCATGGCAGCGCCTGCCGCAGGTTGGTGATACGGCACGCTACCCGCTGGTGCGGCCTTGCTAGGCGCAGGCCTTGACATGTGGTTCGGCCGATGCATTGACACCCCGTCGTCAAGGACACTAGCATGCATTGTCTGCGTGCTCGCACCGCCACCCTGTCCACTCCGTTGGACGAGGGCCGTTCCAGACACGTCCATGGTGGCCGTCGGTGACAGTTGCGAATCGAATGGATGACGGCCTCTGCCCCGCGTTTCGCCCAGCAAAGCGGACATCGGACCCACACCCCCTCCGTTGCTTTCAACTCGCAGTGGTGTGTCGTAAGACGTCAGTGTCGACCCCCATGCCAGACCCAATGTTGATGGAGGGGGCGTCCACGTCGTGTCATCAGGCAAAGGCTGCTGGTGAGGAGGGAGATGCGAATACAAATTTGGATCAAACCTATGGTGGAGATTGTGTTGCATTCCACTCCCTCCTCCGTACGCCCCCCTCCCCATCCCAAAACCCTCACAACCCCGAGTGTATTCGTCTCCCATCCCTTTGCTCCCCGATGCGCCCTGTCGAAGCGTCTTCAACCCCTTCCTCCTTCCACGCCGGATGCGAGCATCGGCCAGGTGGCACGCGTGCAGAGCTATGAGCAGCACCACCACCCCAATCAGGATAATTAGCAGAGCTAGCTTCCTCACCATGTCAGCCATGCGCGCCTGCAGCTAAACACGACACACAGATCTGCTACCTTTCGATGACGACAAAGCGCGGAAGCAGAGGAGTGCAATATAGCGGCTCGCGGGAAACGCCCGGCACGCGACGGGCAGCGCATACCACCCAATTCGAAACAGACGCCGCCAACGGCACTCGCGCGCCCGCCTCCGCGGGGACCCCCGCAACGGTCATCTCCACACACAAGCCGAAACGGCTAGCCGGAGGTACCACATGGCCACAACCGGGCCACGGCGCTGCCCGTTGGAGACTACTGTGGAACCACCGTCCCATGGTGTACCGGACAACCCAGCGTTTGGACCAGGAATGCGAAGGAAACACCTGAGGAAAAAAGAAAACAAAAATGTCGGCGGTTTTCCCGTGGAAAGTAAGGGTACCACCCCTACTTTCAAGTCACCTCCACGACCGTTCTTGCGTTTGCGTCCGTTTTGGCTGGGGAGCCCTGATTTTTGTAAGGCTCGCCCTTACGTCCGCGAATGTGAAAACAAATTTCGCATCTTTTTTTTCGTCATTAGGGAGAGGTGGAACGATAAAACCCTTACATTAAAGGGTTTTCTAGTGGTGTCGAACGAGGCCCTAATACCCCGGCGTCCGCTTCGTCGAACGATCTGGTTATGCCTTCCACCCTCAGCATAACTCCACAAGCCTCAAGCTCCCCCCAAGTCGTAGAGCCAAAGCTCCAGCACCAGCCTGTGTCGGCCCAGCTTCGTTCTTCGGACCTACTTGCCTAACTGCCATTCCTCCATTGAGAACCTCCTGACTAAAATCCATCTTCCGGTTCTAACCCCCCCCTGCCCTCCTTCAGAGAAACTTTTTTTTTTTTAACAACTCAGAAACCCCCTTCATCAATCCTCTTTACCTCACTCCGGCAAGACTTACTGTAGCAAAGCCACCATCTCTGCTGCCGCTATACCCTATTCCCATCCTACCAGCTAGCCCCCTCACTAGTAGGACGTGTGATATCCCGCCATCTTCTTCTCCCACTCACCTCGTTCTCTTATTGAGATGTCGAAGAACACTTGAAGTAATTCGAGACATGAGAATAGATGATGTCGAGCCTAAACATGCCCTGTGCACCACAATTTGTCGGGGCTGGAGGCAGCAGGTACCAACACATGGAAAAAATAGGGCGGTACTGGTACCGCCCTCTGTGATACCGCAAAAAAGAAACGAGGACAACACTGGATTCATGAAAACCTAACAAAACGACAAAACCTCAATTTTTTTATAGAATGAAAAAGTAAAAGTCAAAATGTTATTTTTTACACAAAAAAACAACGTTTTTAAGTGTTTTTCGATAAAGGAGGCAAAAAACGAGGTAAAAAGTCAATTGTTCCTCAAAATGTGAAAGAAAACCCTTTCTTGCAAAATCCTCTTATATGGCTATAAGTCATTCTCTGTAGATTTACAAAAAACAAAGCTCAAATATGACAATTTATAAAGACTACAAGGAAAACTTCAAGGATGTAAAAAAAAAACGGATTTGGTGAATACTCCTTTATAGAACTATAAGTCATTTTCAGCAGTTAGGTAAAAACCAAGATTTGCGAAAACTAATTTATAGGACTATAAATCAATTTTGATGTTAACAATAAAACCCTTCGCAAAAAATATATGTTATTTAAAATAAGAATACCTTCAAATTCTTAGCTTAACACAAGTTTAAAATAAAAGAGGAAAAAACTAAAATAACAAGTAAATAATAATATGTTCGCTCAGGTATGGGAGAATATGTTTGCGAAAATGTTTGAGCGTTCGAAAAACCCTCGGATACATTCATCGTGCTATACATCGTATAAGACTATAAACATGATTTTTTTAGATAACAAAAAAATGAGATATTTCAGTTTTTGAACATACGCTGCTTCACCAGGTAGTGATTTTATGTGGAAAAACCTTTTTTTCTCCTCGCCACTTCCAGTGGTTCTCAAAAAGTAATTTTCTATTCTTTTTTTTGTGGTTGCTTTCCTTCACGTAGAATTTTGTTCCTGGAGGCGGCCTAAAAAACGTACTATCATAATCTTGAATACACTTCGTGCAGACCTAACAATTTGTTTTGTTAGGTTTTCACGAATCCTGTGTTGGACGCTGTTTCTACTCACAAAATAGAAGTACTGGGAAAAAAAAAAAAAAAAGACTCTGGCAGACAATGAATTGTTCCGTGCCTCTGACGAGGAGTAACATGAGAAACAGGAAAGTCGAGATTCGTCTTCCTACCAAACACACACAGGGCCTCAGTCGACACTCCTCGGGTCATCCTCGGGGCTCGAGGAAATTTTCCCATCATCGCCCGAGGAAATTCGCACCGGCGTTCCACTCATCCTTGGAATGGTTCCCCGAGGACGATTCCTCGGGGGCTTCCACTGCCAGTTTTATATGTCGACAAGCGGACGCGGTGGGGGGGCCGACGTTGGTCCAGCGAGGTGTGTCTGTGCCGACGTCGTTGGTCCAGCTCGGGTGGGCGTCACGAATTTGAAAGTCCGTGGCGTTCAAAAAATACATGGCATTGGAAAAGACGCGTAGTCCCAGATTTGAGTTTCGAAATTCGAAATTCGGCAAGCGGATGACGGCGGCATAGACGTCCCTTGCCCGCCGTCGTCATTGGGGTGGGGGTTAACGACGACCATTTGCGAGGTGGCCAACGACCTCCCGCTACACAGCCTGAACGACAATTTCACGCCGCCATCACCTTCGTCACTGCTGAGCCCCTGCTGGAAGAGTTCGGTGTACGACTGCCGATACACGCCATCGCGACTTCCACACAACTTTGTAGCCGTCCACTCCTGGGTGTAACCACTTCCCAACGGCACGGTCCGTGACCGTCTCTCATCCGCCTCCTCATCGGACGTATCCGGCAGAGGTTGCAAGTGCGGTGGTAGGTGCGCGTAACCAGACCGCTCCGACGGCCTTGAACGACTCAACGGGCTTTGCCCAGCCGGCTGGCCACCACCCTGCTCCCCTGCAAACCTGCAGATCGCCTGACTCCTGATCCTTCTTCAAAGACCGTCTTCTGTGTGCACATCGCGGAACACCACCGAGGATGCACACGTGGAAGACAACTACAACGACGAGCAAGAGGACGACCAGCACCAACAGCGGCAGCCTCTGAAAGACGTCAGCCATGAAAGGCACGTGGACGACGGTAGCAGCTAGAAGACAACAGTGGACGTCCAGGAAACAGCGAGAAACAATGTTGCAAACGGCCGATCGCAGATAGCCACAAACAAAGGTTAATGTATTCCGTCGCGGAAGACTGCGCAATCACGAGAGCGGGGGCCGGCTGAAGTATTCGAATTTGCCGACCGTTGGACGCCTTCCCGCTCGGGGCTAAGGGCACCGACGCAAGACAGCCCCTTTTCGATGTCGTGGAGGCCGACAGGCCGCCAATGGTAACCGTTGGTGGACAGTTCCATAATGCCGTACATTGCCGGCCGAAGATGTCCGTCGACGGGCCGCCAGGAACAACAATGGACCAGCTGAGTTTGAAAAATGTCGTCGAGAGAGCTGCCTTCGACCCCCCGATTCTTCCGGATGCTCGACCTCCGAGGGACCTTGAGAGGTCCCTTGGGGAGCGCGTCGAAATGGCTGTAGCCCGAGGAATCCCTGAGGAATCCCTGACGAACTGTTTTCACTTTTTTTTTTTTTTTCAATTTCTTCCCCGAGGATAAGTGCAACGATGAATTCCTCGGGGGCTGTACGCACCCGAGGAGTGTCGAACGAGCCCCACACATACACACAGACACACACACAAAACAAAAAAAAACGCATCTGTGGGTTCATGATGTCAGGGCCAACTGTCCACTGTACTCCAAATATCCGTAATGAGATTGAATCCTCTATGAGAACATGGAAAGACACATTGCCATGTTGTCTTTTGTGCTTGTGGAGAGCAGTCGAGCGAGACTCTGGGCCTCGCCACACCTAGCTCCAAACCAGCGATTTGGAGAGAAGTGGCATTGCCACACCAACTCCCGAAAATCGCTATCTAAAAGAATTTGGAGAGCGGTCAGAATGCAGTTCTCGGGAGTGCTCTCGAACTTTGTGGATCGCCCCGCCTCCAAGGCACCGGATATGAGGAGTGGTCCGAGGCTCCTCCGATTTCGGCCCCAAACTGGAGAGTGCGCCTCGACCGACAACCATCTGTTGCCACCGTTTTATCTGGGTTCGCCACACCACTCTCTAAATGTGAAAAAGATAAAAATGTGGCGGGTGCATCTGGCCATGTTCTAGCGGGAAGTTCATTCTCATTTTGCACATTTCGAGAGTGGTTTGGCGAGACCCGTCGTCTGCGCTCTCCAAAAAATGTCGGGCCTCGTCTGACGAATTGGAGACTGCCGCCGTGGAGAGCGCAGTGTGGTGACGAGCCCTCTCGAAAGTTTTTTTCACATCTCCCGCGTTCGGGAGTGCTCCTGAACTTTTTTGCGTTTTCGGGAGGCCCTCTAAGGGCCTCGCTCCACTACTCCTCACATGCAGAAAAGACAAAAAAGAAAAAGGCAACGTATCTGTCCATGTTCGAGCGGAGGACTCAGTGAGCTACCAACATAGTTGGTTACCAACAGAGGGCCTCGCTGCACTACTCTCGAAATGTGCAAAACGAGAGTGAATCTTCCGCTAGAATATGGAAAGGTACACCGGCATGATTTTTGTCTGTTGTGCATATGGAGAGTAGTGCAGCAAGGCCCAGAGCTCTCGTTCCTCTTGGGGGCGAGCAGGTAAGCACCGTTTTTCTATTTTTCTTTTCTTTTTCTTAGGGGCGGATCCCACTTCTTATAAGCAGGGCACTTTTAGGCAAAATTTGGAATCCCACTTCTTTCCACAAAACTCGGATCCCGTCCTGGAACGTCGGGGAAGTGGAAACGTTCTTGTACGCGGATGCGCAAGCGTGATTGCAGGGGTGGTAGTTCTACCAATTTTCGAAAGAGGCCTACCCCGTACCCTGCACTGTAAAAGAAGAAGCCCTTGTTTTTTTCTTCCTTTTTTTTTTCCTGATGTGCAGGCCGTCGGATCCTCGAGGGGCCAGAAGATAGTGCCGCTCCGTT